AGGAGACTCTGGACAAGAAGGTGGTCAAAAAAAAAAAGAAAAAAAAAAAAAAAAAAAAAAAGCAGTGTAATTATATTTGGCCTACAAGAACATATCAAATGTGTACTGGAGTTGGCCAGTATGTAGCGGTATTGTAGTATTAGCGGTGTATGCGCTATGTTATAGCTCATACATTTTGTTTTTTTTTTTGTTGTTGTTGGCCTTTGAAAAAATATTTACATTAAAAAATAACTCAAAGGCTTAAGATAAAAAGACAGGATGAGAAATGAATACCACTGATGTGTGTTTTATTTTTTAGATTTATTTCTCATGTATTTATAATATTAAACTTTGGTTGTTCCAGATTGAATGTTTATGCAAAATTAAGTTTGTTTCCATATGAAAAAAAATCTACATTACATATCTGGAGAGAAAGGAAAACATGGACAATTGCATCAATTTTTCAATAAATATTAAGTTTGGCTAAGACTTCATCCCAGTTTTTAATGTTGGCCCACTGTGAATTTGGGTTTGACTTTTATTAACCAATAATGAAACCATTTTTACCACTAATTTAATTGATATATTTATATATTTAGGAGATATTAATTTTATATTTTGGATTTTTTTTAAAAAACAAAACAAAACAAAAAGATACCTAGAGTTGCTTGAAAATAAATCTTGTCACAATGACACTGTGATTGAGATTATTAGGCTCTCTAAAATTTTTGTATTTTATTTTTTTCATTTTTTCAACAAACAAAACAAATAGTTTTGCATTGAATCTGGAACAAGCAAAGCTCAATATTATAAACACTTTATTTCAAATTACATTTGAAATAAAACACACACCAGTGATGTAAATGTTTTTTTTCACTGGCCAATGACAAAAATATAATACTATAAAATATAGCGCATACGCCGCTACTACAAATCTTGCCAGTAAATATGGGCTATATAGTGGCTATATAGCGGTGGACCAACTGTAGTACATATTTGATATGATCTCGCGGGCCAAATATAATTACACCGTGGGCCAGATTTGGCCCCCCGGGGCCTGAGTTTGAGAGTAATTGTAAAGTTTGAAATTGTAGGAGGCCAAAACTGCAGCGAGAACCTCAGACACTCATACTGTGGGTTTAAAACATGACTCAGCCTGATTTCAAATGCATGTATGTGTTGAACAGTGCTGACATTTTACAGTGTGTAGTGAAGCTGCTCTTTTCCCCCTGAGTCTGAAATCACCGCGTCTGACTCAGAACAATGAGCCAGGAGCTCACACTGAAGCCACATGCAGTCAACTGAGACTCAAGGCGAGAGTTTTTTGTTAAAACAACTCAAATGGTGAAAATATGTACATTTCTCCCTTTCACGCATTTTAAATTCGCAACTGCTGAATGTTAATGTGATAGAGGTCAGAGATAGGTAGGAGTTTAAAACAAATATCCTTATATTAGTATACACAAGAAAAAGTCGACTTTTTTTAGGGGCAGTGGTGGCTTAGTGGTTAAGGTCCTAAGGTCCTTTCCTTTCCTCTCCTTTCCTTTCCTTTCCTTTCCTCCCCTCTCCTTACCTTTCCTTTCCTTCCCTCTCCTTTCCTTTCATTTCATTTCATTTCATTTCCTTTCCTTTCCTTTCCTTCCCTCTCCTTTCCTCCCCTCCCATCTCCTTTCCTTTCATTTCATTTCCTTTCCTTTCCTCTCCTTTCCTTTCCTTTACTCCCCTTTCCTTCCAAGGAAAGGAAAGGAAAGGAAAAGGAAAAAAGAAAGAAAAGGAAAGGAAAAAGGAAAGGAAAGGAGAGAAAAGGAGAGGGGAGGAAAGGAAAGGGAAGGAAAGGAAAAGAAAGGACAGGAAAGGAAAAAGGAAAGGAAAGGAAAGGAAAAGGGAAAGGAAAGGAAAGGAGAAGATTTTCAAAATAAAACATCTTTTAGACTCTATTCTATTTGTATCAGAGTCTGAATGACCTATTATTTTTAAAATATTGCCAGATTATATTTAAAGAAAGAAAGTAAATGGATATGACTGAATTTTCTTTGAATGAAGTAAATTAGTTTTTCGCAGTTTTTCCACTGTGTCTCGCTGCAGCCCGGTATCAAATGACCTATGGACTGGTATTGGTCCACGGACCAGGGGTTGGGGACCTCTTATCTATAAAGTCTTTAATTTACAATTCCTCTCCTCTCCTTTCCTTTCCTTTCCAAAAGAGGTTGGGGTCCACTGTTATGGATGCAGAGGGGAGGAAGAGGGGAGGAAAGGAAAGGAAATGAAATGAAATGAAAGGAAAGGAGAGGAGAGGAGAGGAAAGGAAAGGCGAGGGGAGGAAAGGAAAGGAGAGGAGAGGAGAGGAAAGGAACGGAAAGGAAAGGCAAGGAAAGGCAAGGAAAGGAAAGGAAAGGAAAGGAAAAAAAGTCTGCCCACGCCTGGTCTATAAGTTAGCAAAAAGCGGCTAAAGCGTCCCGCCAATCAAAAAGTCTGCCCACGCCTGGCCTATAAGTTAGCAAACAGCGGCTAAAGGTTAGCTAAAATTTTTCAAATATTTCTAAATTACTAGAGATTAGCCAAAAAAACATGCAAAAATAACTCGAAAAGGTTTCTGGGGCTAAAACAGAAATCACTAAAAAATAAGTAATATGTGTAGTATTATTTTTTTTTAATGTCTGGCCTTGTTCCTAAAATTCATAGAAAAATTTTGGGAATTAAAAAATAACAGTATAACTTTCTCCTAACCTGCTTTTTCATAAAAAAAAGCAAAGTGTGTCTGCTGCTGGCGCAGCCTCATTTCCATCTGCTGCATGAAGATAAGACGAACGACTCATGTCCCACTTGGTCGACACCAGCGACACTGATTGTTTTTTGTCCTCAGGTGTTTATGAATTTCATTTGCATCACTGAACCTTAATTCCTGCGGGGACGAGGTGAATGTTCACCTTCATGTCACTCTGTTCTTCTCAGATTCTCCCTCAAAAACAACAGATTCTGCCGGAGAAGAGTGCGTGCGCAGACAGTGGCACACGGTACTCTTTCAAATCCACACAGAGTGAAAGCCAGCCATGTTCATTAATCACAAAGACAGTGGCCACGAACCAGGAGTCGAAAATAAGCCGAGACTGGGTTTTGAAATGAAATACAATACTTGAATTCCAAAGTTGAATTTGCATGATGTGTATTTACATGTTTCCAGAAAAAAAATAAAATTAAATCAAAGGTAACTGTTGCCAAAGACTCTGAATGTAGCTGTCTTTTAGAAACAAATTTAGATTTTTGTTTTAGATACCGGTGTATGTATACCTAAAACATAAACACAAATTTTGCACAACTGCAAAAAAAAAATTGATAGCCAAGATATACAGTATTAATAATGATAAAATCTAGTAGATAGAAATCTAGTCAAAATGTCTGAAAGTTATTATTAAATTGTGTCAGTTAACATTTTTGAAGATGGCAGACCATAGTTGGCATAGTTTCAGTAGCTTAGCTTAGCTTAGCAAAAGGAAATTGGCAGGAAAATAGCTTCTGAAGTCACGGACCGAAAAGACCAATCGAAATTAATATTTAGTGGACGTTTTGATGACTTTTTCACATCATATCTCCTATTCTATCACCGGCTGAAGAATTAAAAAAAATGTTCATAAAGTCACTTTAATAACTCCACCCTTGTTTGAATTCCTTCATTCTTTTAAAACCATGGCTTGATTAAACACCAGCCTTTAAAACAATGTCAACAATTAACACAAAGCTCCTGTCTGATGTTTTGGTGTCTTTCGGCAAATGGAGGTTAAAAAAAATGCACAAGGTCACAGAAAAATCTGCGGAAAACTGAAAAAAAACAGATGAATGAATGCTAAGAATGCTGATTGGAAATGTGTTGTGAAAGAAAGAAAAAATAACATGACTAAAAAAATAAAATGACTTCACTCTGGCATTTTATAAAAGTATATTCATACTAAAAAAAATCCACAAATTCCAGAATGTGGGAGAAAAATAATATCTGATGAAGAGTTGAGTTTTAGAAAAAAAATACCTGTAAAGAAACCGTTAGCTTACGAATTGTTTTTGTAATGTAATGAGCTGTAGTAATATATTTTAAAAACACTAATATATATATAAGCGAGTGAAAGAACAAGGTACACTCAATGCTATTAAACTATTTCAAGCTAATCTTTCAGTAAGGTCTGGCTAAAGCTTCAGCTATCACTTCAGCTAATGCTAGCTAATGCTATTTTTCGTATTAATAGAGTTGACTCTAAAGTTAAATCTGTGGTTTACAACTTTAGCTTCTTCAAAAAGCCTAAACTGGCGTTGTCAAACATTATTTATGCTATATTTATACTGGTCCCCTGAAGTGACTTTGACACCTCTGGTCTAAGCTAATATGATACCATATTGCTGAGTTAACGTTGATGGAATTTTGACTCTTTTAGCAATGGCCTACTTTTATGCTAACACTTGGCTAATTGCTGGAAAGTGTTGGTTCTGTTTCCATACCTTGGTCCAGTTGACCCTCTTCATCACAGTCTCAGGTTTGTACGCCTTCTTCGGCTCCAGACCGTAAGGCAATTTCACCACCGGTAACATAGGAGGAGGTGGAGGAGCACCGGGGCCACCAAAGAAAGGCGGAGGAGGAGGTGGAGGCCCGCAACCTGGAGGAGGAGGCGGGGGTGGAGGGCCTCCCCCTGGAGGAGGAGGTGGTGGAGGAGGAGGTGGAATTCCAGCGTGGCCGGGCAGAGGAGGTGGCGGAGGAGGTCCCGCGCCAGGTGGAGGCGGTGGAGGCGGTGGAGGGGGAGGTGGTGGTGGAGCAGCTGCACCTCCTGGTGCGGTAGGAGCTCCGGGAGCTTTCACACCGGCTGCAACCTGTGATAAAAAAGTCGGTCACAGTCAGTACGTGGACAGGAACAATCCCCACACACCAAATCGTACTCCTGCCAACTAACGAAAGATGGCAAAGCTAGCTAAAGTCGAAGTTTAAGGTGCGTAAAAACAGTTTAGTTTAAAATGTGCGAAATAAATAGGTCTGAAAACAA